AATTAAACCAACAAACTTTCTATATTAACTATTGTAATAATTAACTTAAAATAATAACCTTGTGCGTCAAATTTAAGATGAGTTTGTTTGAGCTTTGTAGACAAAAAAATTAATTTTTTTAGCAGAAGAAATACTTGGTCTTTTCTTTTAGATGTTTGTTTATAGTTTTTTTAAGAAATAAATATAAAGTTATATATGGTAATTAATTCCTTGCCAGAGAAGTATAAAGTAGTTAATTTATCCTTATCTATCATACATACCTTTCATTTATCCTTATCTATTTATCCTTATCTAACCTACAGAACTTTCATTTATTGTATTTGTATAATCGTTCTCCCATATTCAAGAAATCTAAAAATATATAAGATAAATTTTACTGAATTGATATTTAATACCATTTCAAGAAAAAAATAAACACTCTAATAATGGTCTAATGAAAAAGTTTTAACAATTACTCTTTTTTTTAAGGACTAACATACAATAATAAAAAAGTTGGATATAACAAATATCATTATAATAGCAATTAAAAAGGTGTTAACATTGTTCAATAAATTTATTATCAACTCATCCTTATCCAAATTCAACAAAAAAAACTTTATATCATTAATTTCTCATACAATTTACTCGTTTGTAGTATTATTGACTTTTGTTTTGGACAAAAAAACAGAACACTGACGTCACCTGTCAGTCACTAACACTAGTCATCCTTTACCCCACATTGCAGTCAATACTGTACTCTCTTTAATGGTGGGACTACTTCCACTATTTATATATATGGTATCAGTTTAAAAGATATTTACGAGAATTTTAAAATTAGAAGGTATTTGTAAATATTTAAAAAGATATATTTTATAAATTTTTAAAATAAAATTTTATTAAATTTAAAAAATAAATATATATAATATAATATAAATTTAATTTTAATTTTAATTAAATTTAATATGATAAAATATAAACTAATTTTAATTTAATTAAATTTAACTTAATAATTACATTTTTATCTTTACTTTTTTAATAACAAATACATACGAACATGAATAATATAATATTTATACTGTTTATCAACAAAACATATTAAAATATTTATTACCTTTTATTTATAAATATTAAATATTCANGAAGTGATAAACATAATAAATTGAGGTTTTGGTTTAATGTAGCAGGTTTTAAGGCCTTTTGAAAATTGTTTAATGCTTATTTTATTCACAACAATGTTACATAATAATTAACGCTCGGTCCGGTCATCCTACCGTGTCTATCGCTCGTCCAACTAGGTTTCTGTTCCCTAGCGTTCGGTTTAGTCGTCCTCCCTCGTGTACCGCTCGTCCAACTACGTCCGTGTTGAAGACTGTTCGGTCTGGTCGTCCTCCCTTGTGTAGCGCTCGTCCAACTACGTCCGTGCTGAAGACCATTCGGTGTGGTCGTCCTCCCTCATGTACCGCTCGTCCAACTATGTCCGTGGTCAAGACCGTTCGGTCTGGTCGTCCACCCTCCTGCATCGCTCTTCCAACAACCTCCGTGCTGAAGACCGTTCAGTCTGGTCGTCCTCCCTTGTGTAGCGCTCGTCCAACTACGTCCGTGCTCAAGACCGTTCGGTCTGGTCGTCCTCCCTTGTGTAGCGCTCGTCCAACTACGATCGTGTTCAAGACCGTTCGGTCTGGTCGTCCACCCTCCTGTATCGTTCTATATAAGATGTCCTCCCTTGTCTACCGCTCGTCCAACTACGTCCGTGTTCAAGACCGTTAGGTCTGGTCGTCCACCCTCCTGTATCGTTCTATATAAGACGTCAAAGAAGGAAATTGTAATATATCCAAAACATTGTAATACATCCAAAACAGTTCCTAGTCATTGACAAAATAGTTCCTGCTCATTGTAATACATCCAAAACATTGTAATATATATATATATATATATACTTTTTATTTTAATAATAAAAATTAATTTTTAAATTATTATTAAAAATAAAAAAATGTTATTAAATTTATAAAAAATAATTATAAAATTTGAAAGATGAAATAATTAATAAAATAATTTATACTGATAAAAATAAAATTAATAGTAAAATAGTAAACAATTGATGTCCAAGACGCAGAGTTGAAATCAAAGAGTTTCACAACTTAGTTGTGAAAAATTTCACATGTGGATTTATTTCAAGAAAAATAAATTGAAAATCAGCAAGTTCAACAATTGAGTTGTGGCATTTTTCACAACTTGTGGATTTATTTTAAGAAGTGTGAAATTGAGAACAGATTTTTCCATGGATTTACTTTAGGAAGTATGAAATTGAAAACAGAGAAGTGTACAAGGAGATTGTGGATTTTTTTATGAGTAGTGAAAATGTTGGGAGCAGTTACTAACCTTTCATAAATATACATCAAATCCCAACTTGGACATTTTCTCCCCACATTCTATTGATTCTTATGACCTTCTATACCCAGAGAAACATTGAAAAACATCTTCCTAACTTAAATTAGTGATCTCAACCTCACTTAACAACTTAACACCAATCAAACTTCATTCTATACCTTTCAACATCAAATATCTGCAACTAACAACTTACACAAGTTTTAATATATAATAACAGCCCTCAAAATCTCACATTATGTCCAGACCTTCTAAATCAAAATACTCCTAATGAAAACTCCTAAAATGAACTAAAAACCAAAAGACACCTCCAAAAGATGACCAACCAGTTCTACATTAGAATTTTGTTGTTATAACACAATTTAACCAAAATAACCTTTCACTTAACTTTTCACCTATCAAAACCCCTTTTCTAGCCTAAAAACTACCTATTTCTTTTGCTGAATACAAAACAAAGACTTATGATAGTTTGATAACACATAACATTTACATCAGAAATCACACTTCACCTCATCATTCGTCAGTTTTCACATAATACATAACATATACAAACAACTCAACATACTAAATTTCTCAATCCAAAAACAATTTCACAATTCACTCAATAATTCCCCATACAAACATTAACTAGAACTCGTCTATCAAACAAATTAAGTAAAACTAGCTTCTCTTACCTTACACTGATGATACAAAGCTCTAAGAATACCCCGATTACTTCTCACACAATAAATTTCTAGTAACACCTATGAATCACCAATTTGAAAAAATAAAAGGTCCTTAGAACTTTAGATTTACCAAGAAGCTCAAAGAACAGAAAAAGACACACATGCAATGAAAACTTCCATACATTGACTCGATTAAAGAGCGAAGAGCACAAAGAAGCTGAAACTAGAAAAGTGATTTCTATAGAGATGATAAGTTTTAAAATAATAAAACTCGCTTATAACAAAATTATTTATAAATAAACCATTTAATATTAAAATATGAGTTTCACTGTTTTAAACTATCAAACACTCCTAAAATATCATTTTCTAATAAAAGAGGACAAGTTATATTCAGTTTAGTTTTTTATTATTAATGAGATTTTTATTTAGTTAATTTTTAGTAACATATAATGCAAGTTTTTAATAGATAATATTATGAAGGTAAAATTATTGTTAATAACATGATAAGACCTTCGAAACACTGAACGCGTAAAAGAATGAGTCTTTAGCTGGAAACTAAATTTATTTATAAGAATATAAATATTAATAGAATTATTATGTTTTTAGTTTATTTAAAATTAGAATTAGCGTCTGTTAAAAGCCTCCATATCTTGTTTTAAATATAATTTTTTAATTTAATTTCAATTTTTAGGAAGGAATTTTAATTTTATATTAAAATTTAGATGTTTAAAACATATCTAGCCTATTAATTAAATTGAGTTCAGATAATCAAATACCATGTTTCATAAATTTAAAATAATTAAAGCATAATATTATTTAAAAAGAAAATCGACCTTAGTAATTTACGTAATTTCTTATATGACTTAAATAATAAACTATAGAGATGTCGCTTTCATCCGTAGAATATAATTGAAGCTGTTTATTTCAGATAAGATTTCTGGTATCACTTTCCGGACTGAAAACTGTAAATAAAGTTGTAAAGTGCTTATAATCCCAATTAATTTTATATAACACGTACTTAAATATTCTAACTTTAAAACGAAAGTTGAAAAAATTACACTAAGAAGATTAATTATGAACACCCATAATTCTTTTAAAGACAACACCAAAATCAAAATTTGAAAAATCTCACGAATAAAATTACCAGGACTGTATTTGAATTAGATTCCTTTTTTTTCATAGAATTATGTTAATTAAGTATGAGTTATTGTAAACATTTGTTTATTTTCTATTTATACGAAAATCAATTTTCTGAGAATAATCCCTACGGATAATCAATTCAATAATTTTTATACAACTTTTCTTTTAGTCTTCTTAAATTCATATATATATATATATATATATATATATATATATATATATTTAAAATATATTCTCAAACATAATTACTTTTTATTTCAAAAAATATCTTAATGGGAGAGTGAATTTATGTTCTAATAAATAATTTTAAAAATAGTATATTTATATTATTTATAAGGCTTAATTGAAATTTAAGTATCTCGTTTAAAGTCCACTAAAAATATAAACTTAGTCAACTATAATTTTAAACTTATTTGTATGTATAAAAGGTTAAGAAGTATAAGCAGATTATCACGATTCTCAATTTCAGAAAGTTCATTCAGTTTTCTCCTCACTACTCTTTCCTTTTTGTTCTTCTTCCATAGCCTCTTCCAAAGAAATTCAAAGAAAAACCAAACCAGTACGCTTACTGAACATGAATAACATGGTTTGTGCTGAAACTGAGAGTGTCTCAGCAGAGAAGAAGAGAGAGATAATGGAAGAAATTAGTAAGGGTAAAAAAGCAGCTATTGAGCTAAAGATTCTGCTTCAGAAACCCTCTGGGAGTGAACCCTTTCTCTCTTATCACCAACTCCTGGCCAGTGTCCTCACATCTTTCACACAATCTCTTTCTATTATTTGCTCTTCTTCTTCACAACCCAGTTCAGCAGATGGGCTGCCTCATCGGAATCTTCTGAATCCTACCGAATATAGCTCGCCGGTGACCGCTTCCGGCAATGATCCGACGTCTGGACATTGCAGTGAGAAGAGATCCCAAAAGGGTGGGAGAGGTCGCTACAATAGATGGTTGACTTCACATTTTCTCTTATGTTGCTTTTCTTAATCACTGACACATGTTTTACAGTTCAAACAACATACCCTTCTTTGGTCTGAGAAATTTGTTTCCTGAGAGAGAAGGTTTGAGGATTTGGGATGTGTACGGTAGTACGGACATACACAGAGTGTCATGTTTAACGTTCATTAAAGTTTTAAGAATAGATGTTGAATTTTCCGAGGTTCTAACTTATGTATATGTTGGATTTTATGACTTTGTTATATATTTAACATGATGATTTCTGTTAGTTGATGGTCAGATCCAAGAGGGTTCATATAACTCCTTGTTATTTTTCAGAGATGCATTTTACAGATTCTAGATATGTTGCAGTATGCTATGTTCCTTTTTTTGTTTATTTTATATATGTGGAAAACATGTGTTATGTTCTTTATATTAAAATGCTTCTGGTTTGTTGTTGTTTTGCAGCAAGGGTGCACCGAGAAAGATCGTACTGTCTTGCACCACTGATGATAAGTATGCATGGAGGAAGTATGGACAAAAAGGAATCCTGAATTATGAATTTCCAAGGTATATATTTTTTTATGATCTTATTTTTATATTTTTCTATGGAAAGATTTATAATATTTCTGATATAGTATTCCAAAACATGATCCCGCAATAAAGATATACCTTCTTATTTGAGGTTTTATTTTATATATTTGCTTCTGAGTCTTCACACTTTCATCTTTATATACTTCTTTTAATTTTTCTTTGGTGTCTTTCAAGTTCAATACAAACTATTCATTTTGAATAATTTTGTATATAGGAGTTACTTCAGGTGCAGTCACAAGCATGATCAAGGTTGTAAAGCGACCAGACAGGTGCAACTGGAACAAGACAATCCACGTACGTATCGAATTACGTACATCGGTCTTCACACATGCTATGACATTCCTAAAGTTACACACAAAACCACAGATTTTTCCACTGGAGAATCACATCTTCTGCATTCTGATCGTAGCTCCAATGTAAAGGATGATCTCATTAGCTCACCAAACTTAGCTATAAAACCAGTTTTTCCCAAAGAAACTTACACATCAAGTGATCTTACTGATCACAAGTTATTAGATTCTAGCATGTGGTTAGAATATTGGAAGGAATCTGAACCATTCAACTCTACCATTATGCCCTCAAGGAAGGAATTTGATAACAGTGCAGATAATGCATATTCATGTGCAGACATTCAAAATCTGGACATGGATTTTGGTGGGCTGGCATCTGTTCTTTCCGACACTCACTTTCACTTTGATGCAGATCAGTTCTTTTAGTGCTATGGTTGTTGGTTTATTTGCTTTGTTGTTGGGATGGAGATAGTTAGACATATTATATTATGTTTATCTTTATCTTTTATTTTAGTTAATTTGTTATTATTTCTTATTTGTATTTTGAACTTAGTCTTATTTCTTTTAATACAAATAAATGATTCTATGTGTATATTTAAGAAAAAGGAGATTAATCTTATAAATAATTTTCATTATATTCAACAAGGTATTTGAGGATTTTTATTTTGCCTATGTAATTACACCGTCGTTGCTGATGATGGTGTTATCTATTGGTACTATCGTCTACCACTGTCTTCTACCACTATCATTATCAGAGTTTCAGTTTCGACCGACAATCACACCTAGGCGACCACTGTGCCATCAACGACACCTTCATCAGAGCTTTTACGCTCTTTTAGTGTCTTTTGAAGTTGTGGATCTGCTCTATTTTCCATCATATGTGTGACACGTCTTGTTTCCTCTTTGGCTGCGATTTAGAACGTCGAGGTCACTCTTTTTCCTCTCTCAAGTTTTGTCGCATGACATGTCTCCTCTCAGGCAGCTATTCAGAGTATTGAAGTTGCTCTTTTTCCTTTTCAGGTGCTTTGATTGGAGAATCTTGAGATTTTAAGGTTTCTCTCTCATGTTCATTAATTTCTTCTTCCACTGATGTCTCTTCTGATCTCTCTTCTATAACCATTGTGTTTGACTTATCTATATATGTTTTTTTTTCGTGGCAATGATGACTTTTGTTAGTTTATTTATAAATGTGATGACTCTTCAACAATGACTTCTTTATCCACTGATGTCAACAATGTATTCCTTAACGACTATTCGTAAGAAAAGATTTACATAGAGCAACCTTCCAGATTTGTTGCTCAGGAGAGTCTTTTGGGTTGATATTTCGTCTTCTATGTCGTCTTCGCAAATCACTAACAATTTGGTGTCATTCGAGTGTAGAATAGATATTTTCACTAAGTCTATTGATTATATTAGCAGCAAACTTGGTACATACCATTTGTATACAGAAGCTTGCTTGAGGATGAATGTTAGATATATTATGTTTATATTTATTTTTTATCTTTAGTTAGTTTGTTGTTAGTTTTTATTTGTATTTTGGGTTAGTTCATATTTATTCTATTATAAATAGAGGACCATATATGTATATTCAATAAAAGAGAGATTAATCTCATACATAATTTTCATTATATTGTAAATGTTTTTCTTAATGGCATGACAATAATCACTGACAAGAATTCAAACAATATAATGAATCAAATTGGTCCTGAAATAATACTTCATCTTCTATGTTCTACTAAACATTATTTGAAAATATCTTAATTTAACATATTTACACTACTAAATGAATTATTACAAATTAAATATTAAACCATAAATAACAACATAAACATTTAATATGTCTTTACAGTCCTCCTTAAAACTTAAGATAAAATTATGAAAATATATAAGATTTATTGGGAAGATACAACACCAATGAGATATGAGTCCAACCAGCACTACTCTCAACCCAAAACCTTAAGGGGGTTAATGAGTCTTCACCATTATATTCTGCTCCACTTTCTCATTTCTACCCAATCTAAAACTTAGATTCACAATAGGAATTCTAACAGAATAAACCATGAATCTCAATTCAATAAACCTACTGGAATTGCCACAAACTAGGATTCATTCCTTATGAATCCCTTCATTCTCAAGACATGCATTCGTACACTTTCAAATACATCTTAAAAAGTTATTCACTTGTATACAACTAATATAACCATATTAAAACACTAATCGAAGTTAAGAATCAAAGGATTTTCGCTCAGTGCGCCTAGAATTCTGCTTAATGCAAACCAAACAGAGGGTCTTAAATTGTGCTCAACTGTCACTAGGTGATGCCCAACACTAACAAAACAATGAACTCACTATCTCTTTTGCACCCATCGGTATTAAAGTTTCACCCACACTAGTACAGGATAAGGAAATGGCATCGGTTAATTTTGTTTATAGGACTCGGTTCTGCAACCGAGTCATATTCAAACGATGTAAAAGAGGGTGGCTTTATGCCTCGGTTCTGAACCGGGTTAAAAAGAGACAGGATGATGCCTCGGTTCTTAGATAACCGAGGCAATTGCATGTTTTCTTTTTCAAAACAATCCACTTCTCCCTCTTCGTTGCACAGGGTTATTGAATTTTTTTCCCTTTTCACAGAACCAAATCTCAGAAGATATACAGAAGATATACAGAACCAAATATCAGAATAGTAAAGGGTTATTGAATTTTTTTCCCTTTCACAGAACCAAATCTCAGAACATAGAACCAAATATCATAATAACATATAAAAATCAACTACACCAACCTTAACAAAATTGCTTCCAAAACAACATAGAAAAAAAAGTATGGATTTTGATACAATGAGCATTTAGGGAAGAAGAAAAGATTTGGGGAAGAAGGGAGGTTGCTCGCCACCACTGCAGGACGCCTCGCCGCCACCTCTTCGTTGCTCGCCAACGACACCGCTGCAGGACGCCCTCGCCGCGACCTCGCCTGACCTCACCGCCACCTCGCCAAGGAACTCCGTTCAACTCTTAGATCGGTGAACCTCCCATCATCTCCAAGGCACCATCTTCTCTGCTCGCCAAACGCCTTAGATCGACGAGCCTCCCATCACCGCCACCGTGGTACTCGTCTCCACCATCGCGCCTCCCCTCCGCTTTCGACGCTGGCCACCATCGTGCCTCCCCTCCGCTTTCGACGCCGACCACCATTGCGCCTCCCCTCCGCTTTCGACGCTGACCACCATCGCGTCTCGTCCTCGCACCGTGGCTGTCAAGTGGGAGAGAACAAGAGAGATCGCGCCCTCTTTGTTTCTGCCAGATGAAAATGAAAAAGGGGAGATGAGAGTGCTAGAGGAAAGAACCATTTCGTGTAAAATGAAAAAGCAAAGATGAGAGTATGTCAGGTGTGGTGTGACTGATTTGACCGGGGTAATAGGCCTCGGTTCTACCTTTAACCGAGTCAATACGCCAAAATACAGTCTCGGTTCCACCTTTAACCGAGTTAATAGCCCAAAACACAGTTTATATGCTTTGGTCCTTAATAAACCGAGGCATATAAATTCATCAAAACTACAAAATTGCCACCGCTCTCGCATAACCTTCGGTTTTCCTTAAACCAAAGTCTATTGGACGAGTTAAAAAGCATAATTTTTACTAGTGCCAATGCAATTGAGACAGTGAGGCAATGTTTGGTTGACGTCCTACAACACTACAAGGGTATCCAACACTCAACCATAAAAGTTGAGTTTCTCTATGAGATTTGATTGATCAATTTGACTATTCCTAAGTTATTTACCACTTATTATGTTTCATTTGAATACAATATCACTCTATTTCATCACAAGAAACACCACTTTGATCAATTTGATATCTCATAGAGAAATTCTCACCAACAGTCAATCAATGCAACATAAGGAGTTCAATTTCATAATTTTAGCTTCTAACCTAACATACCAAATTTCATAATTTTAGCTTCCAAATATACGTATATCTATTTAAAAATTAGATGACATTATGATCATTAAATGTCAAACAAATTTTGAAACTTTTCTTATTGATTGTATCCATATATTAAAAACTTTGTTCTCATAATAGTAGATATAATACTCTTATAATTTCCCAAATTCTGAGTAATTTAAGTAATCTTTTAATGTTTAATTAGCATTACATTAATATTTCTAATACAAGTTTCAACATCCAAATTATTAAAATAAAATTGGTATTTTAATTAAAAACAACACTGAAAAGGTAAAGAAATGCGCCTTTTGATACATTCTAAAATATCAAATGTAAATAGTTATGTTTCATAATATTGATGATACAAATAATTATATGTTTTAATAATTTTAAGAGTTCAGATACATTAACTAAAATAATCTTCAACCCATATATATGTGTTTTTCTTTTCTCTTTCTTTCTCTTCTTTTCTTCTGCTGTCGTCCTTTTCCAAACCCAAACCCCACACACTTGCTACGTACAAACCAAAAGAGAAAAATAAAATCACAGAAAAATGAATAAGAAAGAGATGTTGAAGAAGTGCATAGGAGAGAAGTGATCTATGAATAAAAAATTCAAATGATGAAATGTTATTCTTTTAATAATTTATTTTAAACTTATAATAATTATATTTTTATTTTTATTTTTATTTTTATGTAAGACTCTGTTTTATAGTTAGCAAAAATTATTGTAAATATGTTACAATTTTAGTTCATGTCGAGTTTATAAATGAAATCTTAATTATTTACAAAACTTATTATTTTTTTGCTTTTTATATGTCTAACCTTCTTTAAAATCTTTTTGGATTATCGTCTTTTTTATGATTAAAACTAATATATTTGTGACAATGATAAAGTGAGGAACAAGTTTGATTCATCAAAAATTTAACAAGAGGAATTTGTTTTTATTATATTTCATGTTTTTTATTTTCAATTACATGTAAGAGTTTTTGTTAATATATATAAAACAAAAAAATATCAATATTAATAATTTAAACAAGATCAACAAAAAATACTTAATTAATACATCTTAATAAATTTAGCGACAAAATTGATACAAAATTAAAAGCTAAGATTAAGTTATAACATATTCGGGATTGTCCAAATATTTAAACTATTTATTTATTACTTTACTATGATTGCGTGGTATGTGACCACATGATATTATTTATAGTAGAATTCAAACTTTGTTTCCCCTTGGAAATAGAAGTTTCACAAACAAACCAAAATAAAATTATTTTCAAATTTGAATATAAAAGGAGAGAAACAGTTTTATATTTTACTTAAGAATATTTTTAGAAAAGTGAATACAATCTTAAATTTAATAGACTAAAAACATCAACTTTAAATTTTAGGAAACAAAAGGAATAATAATTAATATTTCTTAATTAACCAATGATATTATACTCATTAATCTATGTGAGCAAAGTAAGTAGAACTAAAATAATAAAATCAAAAAAGAGTTTTTATTTTATTTTAAGGTCAT